GAACTAGCATATGATCCAGGATCCCACTGCTAGGTATACACCCAAAAGAAAGGAAATCCATATACTGGAAGAGGTATCTTCACTCTCATGTTTATTGCAGCACTATTCACAGTACCCAGATCTGGAAGTAACCTATGTGTCCATCAGCAGATGAATGGATAAGGAAAACATGGTACATATACACAATAGAGGTCTATTCAGCAATAAAAAAGAATGAAATAAGTCATTTGAAACAATACAGATGGAACTGGAGGTCATCATGCTAACTGAAATAAGCCAGGGGCAGAAAGAAAAACTTCACATGTCTTCACTTACTGATGGGAACTAAAAATTAAAATGATTGAATTCATTGAGATAGAGAGGAGAGTGATGGTTACCAGAAGCTGGGAAAGGTAATGGTTGGGAAGGTGAAGTGGGATAGTTAAACGGTACAAAAATATAGTTAGAACAAATAAGATTTACTGTGTGCTAGTACAGCCGAGTGACTACAGTCAACAATAATTTATTGTACATTTTAATATAACTAGTATAGTATAATTGGATTATTCATATCACAAAGAAAGGATAAATGCTTGAGGAGATGGATACCGCATATTAGGGATACCCCCCAATAATCACCTTGGTGTGATTTTTATGCATTGTATTCCTGTATCAAAATATCTCATGCACCCCATATTTGTTCACCTAGTATGTACCCATAAAAACTTTAAGTCATTTAAGAAATTAGATGAGTTATGTTAAAATGTAAATATTAAATAAGCTGTCAAATTAAGTAGTTCTGCTATAGTTATCTAAAAATAATTGTAAGGTAGCTCTCAAAGGCCTGAGATTAAGAACTGAGGATAAGCAGCATTGACTGGAAGCGAAGTCTAGGTGGTGTAATCCACACACTAGACTGTATGCTAGCTAGTGTCACTGACTGCTATCGGGTGGTAGTACCCAAAGTGGTGAGAATTAAAAAATTAAGAACCGTAAATGTTCTTTTCGAAATTGAATCTTTCAATTCTGGATTGTATGGAGGCCATAGTAAAAGCCGTCATTTAAGAAAGGTTAGCTATACACCCAAATATGGCCATAATAACTTCCTCCTTATCCAAGTAGGTTGATATTCTGAATTGTTTTGTTTTGCTTTCTGTTTTGATACACAGTTGTGGACAGATTCATATTCTTTTTTTGGCCTTCATCCCTCATTATTCTCAAGTCAGGTGAATCACTGCAGTTTATCTCATCTTTATTTAGTGTCATGAGGTCTGAAATGATAGTTGTGTCAAAAAAAGACGTGTGACTGCACAGGAGGAACTGTGGCTGAAGAACTTAACTGTGAACCCAGATTTATTACAGAGTATATTCTAGGATTCCATGAAAATAGGAATGCACTCTTTAAAAATACGTCAGGGCTCCTTGAATCCGTATGATGGCGGGATTAATGCAGATGGCTCGTGCTGCAGACTGCAAATAGCTTTGTTAAAAGAAACACACACACGTGAACTAATAGAGCCCTCCAGGGTCAGGAAAAGGTGAAAACAGGAAGTTCCCTGAATTCCTCCTTCCAGAGCATCTTTTGAAGTATAAAGACAACGTAGGTAAGTCTTCCTTTCAAATAATGCCCATTTTAGACAAATCTGGAGAGCTCAGGAAAATGAGGTGTAGAACAGCGGAAATAATGTTAACTCTTTCAACTTTTCCTTTTTTGAAAAGAACCCAAAACATAGCAGCAATTGTTTGATTGAAATGTACTGTATGTTCTTGAAAGAAAGTAAGTATAAGACCTTTAAGATCAGCATAACTTACCCTTAAATAAGCTGCTGTATGCAGAGTGAAGTCACTAAATATATATTTTCAAAGTATCCATTTATACAACTGCCCTTTCTATTTATTACAGTTTGAAACTGTCACATTCTAAAATGGTATTTATTCTGTTCTAAGAAATTAACATGTACATATCGACTTGGAGCGTGAAAAACAAACACGATGGCTACAAATGCGGAAATGCTTGGTCACTGGTCCTGAGAAGGCTCTGAGAATGGTTTTGCACCTAGAAATAGATCTTATGCTTCTGTCTCAGCATTTCAAAGTTACACTTTCTATCATATAAAGTTGATAAACTTTGAACTGCTATTTCAATGAGCAATTGATCCTTCCCATGTAAGACAAACATAAGAAATCTCTCAGTTTTAAATTTAGATGCAACTCTGTAGTAAGAATGATGAAGACAAAATTTCTCCTTGTATAGAATAATTTAAAGCTGAATTTGTGGGACTAGTCTTCACACCACGTTTTTAAAAGTAAAGTTAGAGTTTTCATTATAGTTTTAGCAAAAAGTCTAAAGGTTTTGCTTCAAATACAAAAATTTTGAAAATTGTAACACAAATAGGTGGATTTTCAGTTGACTCTCTTTGAATGTGATAGATGTGACTATTTTTTTCTACAATAGGAAGTGTGATGTAGTAAAATCACTTGATTTTTATAACAGTTATTCTCATGAAGGTTAACAACTGAATTATCCCCTTTCATTTCACAGATTTTTTCAATGTCACTTCTAAGATTTTGTATCTAAATATAATTGAAAAGAAAAAATTATTCAAAGGGAAATGTCAAACACATAATAGGGGAGATAAAAATAAAGCCGATTGAAGAAAGAAAATTTTTACATTATTACAAATTTTCTGCAGAATCCTATTCTTTAATCTAAGGTCTTTTATTTAAATTGCTGTGTAATGTGGTCCTGCTTGTAGCCAATTATATGAAGACACATTTTAAACTTCCCCATGAGAACCTATTTACCCAAATTCATCACGATGTAAATGCAATGTATCTAATATTTAACCCTGGAAGAAAAAAATAAAATGCCTTAATAGGAGCAATAAATCAGTGAAATGTAAATAAAGTGTAGACTGACGTAGTAGTAGTGTGCCAATGTTGACTTCTTAGTCATGATGTTGTTTCATGGCATTGTAGGATGTTGTCATTTGAGGAGACTGAATGAGGACTATATTGGAACTCTGTACTATCTTTACAACTTTTCAGTAAGTCTAAAATTATTCCAATATACAATGTTTATTAAAAATCCCAATACTTCAATAATATATTTCTATACCACTGTTGTGGAAATTGCAGTTATTCATGTTGATACACTTTCCTTGATTTTTATAATTTGTAGTATATATAACACTAATTCCAATTAAAATCAATTTGTCATGTTTTATCCAAAAAATTGTTTAAAAATAAGGGTTTATATTCTTGTCCTGCTAAATTGTGCCATTTTGGTGATAGAAATGTAGATGAGCTTGCTAGTTATAAGGAGCCATTTTTATACTTTCATTTGTTTAGCAGATAATATTTTCTATTTAATGTATTTTAGAATATTTTGAATCCACAATACAGCAATCCATTACAAGGTAATAAAGGGGAAAACGTTCTGCTGAAAACAGGCTATTCCATATCTCAGATTCTAGAATGAGGATAATCACTTTCGATACATCACAGCTACATAAAGTATCACAAAGATCATTTGACTCACATAATGAAAATAATTTATGGTAGTTTTTCATTTTAGATCAAATATTGCTACCACAGAATGGTATATGTACCACTTCCACCCACCAAACAAATAAAAAATTAGCAATATTTGTCATAGATAATATGCTCTCTTTACCAGATGTTAAATAATTAAATTCATCATATGGATTCTGAATTGATTATAGCCATCATGCTTTAAACCCATTGACTGGCAGGAAATAGATAAAGAGTTAAATGTTCAGTGAATCTGCAGCCAGAACTCTTAAGGGACACATTAACTTTTACTGACTGTATATCCAAATGTAAAGGATAGCTGCCTGATACTTACTTAAGATCAGGACCGGAAGACATCAGATATGAGCTGAAAGTTTAAGGAACTGGGACATTATTATGAGTATTTAAACTGCCATGCCAAAGAATGGTGATAGCATAGTGAGGTCACCAACAAAAGCAGAAAGAACTTTGGGATGGGAGGGCAAAGACGAAGCTGAGCACAGCTTGAGATCAGTCAGGGCCAGTTCAAAGCAGAGGAGATAAGAAAAACATACCTCTGTCCCCACTGTATAATAAAAACTGGGCCTATTAAATTATTATAATACAGGTCAAATATTCCTTATCTGAAGTGCTTGGACCCAGAAGTGTTTTTGATTTCAATGCTTTTCTTTTTATTTGATTTTGGAATATTTTCCTCTAAATAATGAGATACCTTGGAGGTAGAACACAAATCCAAACATGAAATTCATTTACATTTTAGATATACTTCATACACATAGTATGAAGGTAATTTTGTATAATATATTAGCAATGTAGTGTGTGAAATAAAGTTTGTGTACACTGAGCCACCAGAAAGGAACGTATCACTATCTCAGCCACCTGTGTAGACGTCTGTGGTTGTTCGGCATCACTGTTATTCCTAACTCTGAATTTAGATACTACCGATAAGCAGTCATCTTCTCATACTTATTTACACATAAGTAGTTAACAGTAAAGAATATGTCGTACCTGCCAGGTGTGGGGGCTCATTCCTGTAATCCCAGCACTTTGGGAGGCCAAGGTGGGCAGATCACCTGAGGTAAGGAGTTTAAGACCAGCCTGGCCAATGTGGTGAAACCCTGTCTCTATTAAAAATACAAATTTAGCTGAGCGTGGTGGTGGGCCCCTGCAATCCCAGCTACTCAGGAGGCTGAGGAAGGAGAATCACTTGAACCCGGGAGGTGTAGGTTGCAGTGAGCCGAGATGACACCATTGCACTCCAGCCTAGGTGACAAAGCAAGACCCCATCTCAAAAAAAAAAATACATAAATAAATAAAAAGAAAAAAGTCATAACATTAAAACAGCGAGAATAATGAGTTCAGGGTAACTTGGCAGCATAGTAGCATCACCGGAACACCAGGATCAGGTGCTAGACAAGAGCAACAACAAACAATGCAGGCTTCCGGTCTCCACCTACAATGCTGTTATAATTAAAAGGCTGCTGTGCATGGTGTTTTTAATTTATTAATTAATTATTGATTGATTTAGGGGAGAAGAAAACTGGGAAGCAGTTGAGGGACCGAGAAGTGGGTCCTCTAGGGATGAGGAGGCGTTCTGCTGGATGGATTTTTGAAATGTTTCTTCCAGTCATCTGCCTCATTGGCAGTGTATTTTGTCTTAGGAGTCTCTCTTCAGTTTTATAATCAGACATGATTCCTTGTTCTGTTCCAAATACATTCTTCTGTAGTCCTTCAATACACCTATCGCATATCACGGTGTCGTCTACAGGCACTTTTTCTGCAGCGTTAATGCCATCGTCATCATCACTATTATCATACTCTCCTTGATTCAGAACTGTTTGTTAAAGAATTAACAACTGGAGCCTCATTATTGATGTTAACAACTTCTTCAATAGCTGCTTCTTTCAGCTTATAGATGAACTCTGAAGGTATGTTTCTTGCATATGTAAGAAGATAAAGCATTTTTTTTTCCTCACTTGACATCCAGAATTCTTCAGAGTCACCACCTAGTTCACCATCTGCACTGAACACAGTTGCAGGCCAGAGGTTGTGCCAGGCATCCACAACTGTGTCTTCAGTCACTGTGTTCCAAGCATTGACAACAGCATATATAGCATCCTTCATGCTAAACTCCTTTGGGAACCTTCCACACTCACACCTCTGCTTACTGCTGCTAGCATGCTGTTCAAGAAAGTGTTTTAATATTTATGGATCTAAGGATACTCTGGTCACATGGCTGAATAATGAAGCCACATTTGGGGAACAGCACCTGGCATAAACATTATTTTTGATGAGCTATTCCGCTGAAGGATGAGCAGAACAGTTGTCAAGGAATAACAAAATCTGGAAATCTGGCAGTCTTCCAGTCCTGCTTCCCTGCAGTAAGCATGAGCCACTGGTATAAAGTGTTCGTAAAACCAATCCTAAAATATTTCTCTGGTGATCCATGCCTTTTTGTTAGCATAACACAGTAATGGACTGGTAAGAAATTCACTTCTTACAGTCAGCAAGGAGGCAAACTTTTGCCTGTCACAGCAAATTTATACACTTATGTGTGCCTGCTGCATTAGCACATTCCCACAGAGTTATTTTGTTTTTGACGTCCTTAATGCTTGTAGCATTTTCTCATCCGCAGTAGCCAGTGTTTGGGACACTAACACCAAAACAAGGATGTTTGATCTACATTATAGACTTGTTCTGGTGTCAGATTTTTTATCAGTGATGACATTGGCAAAGCTGTTAATGATTTTCTCCACTGCTTTGTGAAGAACAGATGCTTTATCACCACAAATCATTAAACATTTAATGCTATGTCATTTCTTAAATTTCAGCAACCATCCTGTTGAATATTCAGTTTCCTTTCATTTTCAGTTCATCGTGATAGATCTTTGCTTGTTTCATGATCAGCAAAGCACTAAGTGGTCTGTGTTCACTTCAATGCTAATGGATCAATTTTTTTTCAATAAATTATCAAGGTCTTCATTTTAACTTTTATGTAGTGTTTTTTTTTTTTCTGTTTTTCTTTCACTTCTGTTCATCGGTTTGAACATAGAACTTCAACAGTTTATCCTTCTGTTTCTTCAGGTCCTGTACGGTGGCTGTTCTAACACCATACTCTTCTGTAACTTGTTTCACACACCCTGTTGTCCAGTTTCGCCAACAGTTTGACTCTCCGTGGTATAGATCAACATAAATGCTTCTCCCTTGTTATATCACTGCTCCCCACAGGGATATCTTCAGGCCTCTTTGATATTTTCCACAATATCATTACACTGCAGGGCAGAAAATAGGCAGAAATCCACAGTGAGTATTGTGGCAGGTCTTGGCTTCATGGGGCATCATGGGGAACCTGCCATCAACCATCCTGCCTGCATATGTGCCAGTATGTGTTGATTGATTGGATGAGGGGCATGAGGGACATAAACTGAGGGTTACAGCCAAGTGTTTATTTGACCAACTGAAAAGGGAATTTCCATTTGCTCTGACGGCAAAGACAAGTGGAAGGGGAGAGCAGGTTTGGGGCTGTCAAATAGGCAATTTGGAAATCAGAGGAGAGGTGTGGGCTGTAAGTTAAATGAGAGAGTAATAGTATGTAAAGCCATGAGTGTTAATCTGGGTACTCTAGCAACAGAGAAGAGTTAAAGATGATGCACTAATACTTTTTATTTCAAAGGTGAGACCCCAGGGCGGCAAAAGGAAGAAAAAAAGTGAGGAGTGAGACAGGGAAGGGTGGGGAGCATTGCCATGAGAAAGCACACAGACAGTGTGGGCCCCATCCTGGGACTCCTGACAGAGAAGAGAGCTTGAGGAAGTACAGACTCTTCTTTGTAAAGCTCATATGGTGGAGAAAGAACATGCAAAGAAAACTCCACAAGAACAGCCAGCCAGAGAAGAGCCAGGAGGAAGCGTTGTCCCATAAGAACGAAGGATACTGTGGCTAGGTCAAGTGCAATGGAGATAAAGAGAATGGGAGGAAAATAAGAAACAATGACAAAGAGCAGAAAGGAACAAAGAGCTTTTCAAAGAAACATTATCACTCTAAGGTAACCCACTGTTTTCCTTCTTAAACAACAACTTTATTTATCAGAAGCATAAATCTTGCTAATTTGCAGTTTATTCAAAGCAGTTTTTTAAAATTATAAGTTGTTTTCTAAATATGTGAATGCTAATTTATGACAAATATGCAAGGACCATTCAAACAGTTGAAGTGCAGTCTATATAACAGTTATAGTCAAGTTTACCTGGGAATCTAAGAAGAAATTGGTTGTTCACAATTGGAATCACCTAACTTCCTAAACTCATGGAAATATTCAATTGTTAAAAGCATACACTGACACAGGAAAATGTATGAAAGACTTTACATGGTAACCATATAAAACAATAGTACACAATTAAACTTGGCTTTGAAATATCAGTATATAAGATATCCAGATGTAAAAATAAGTATATAAGAAATTAAATCTTCATCTTCTAATAATCTCAGTTAAAATACAACTGGATTTCTTTTGTGTTTTTGAGCATATTCTGCATTTTAGAATTTAAAATTGATCAGAAATGGACAGTTCTTTTAGACCTGAACCTTCAAAAATCTTTTAGACATGGACCTTCAAAAATCACAGAAAGTTGTGAATTAGTGTGGAGGTGGGAAAGATTCCTAATTAATACATTCATGTCGGCTTGTGTATCTTTTTTCTTTTTGAAATCAACTGAAAGTAGATGCTAAATATAAATACTAATTGATATGCCTCTCTATTAGTTTCTTGAAGCTGCCATAGCAAAGTGCCACAAACTTTTTGGGTTAAAACAATAGAAATTTTTTCTTTCACAGTTCAAGAGCCCAAAAGAGCAAAATCAAGGTATTGGCAGAGCTGATTCCTTCTGGAAGTGCTGAGGGAAAATCTATTCCCTGCCCCGCTCCTAGCTTCAGTGGCTGCTGACGTACCTGGTGTTCCTTAGCTTGGGTCTGCCCTCCTGTCTCTGCCTCATTTTCCTATGGCCTTCCTCTCTGTGTCTCCTTTACTGGCTTCTCTAGGGACATTCGTCGCTGGGTTGAGGGTCCACTCTGCTCCAGGATGATCTCATCTCAAACCTTTAATTACCTCTGCAAAGACCCTTACTTTAAATGAGGTCACATTGTGTGGTTCCCGGTGGATTGGAATCTTGCAGGGGACACTATTCGACCCACTACAGCTCCCATCAATATACATTTCTTAGTTTGTGGTAAATGTTGGTAGCTTCTTTTGCTCCCTTAATAATTGCCTACACTTCTTTCCTAACCCTCCTTGACTAGTGTTATTTATACTTGGGGCTTATTAGGTGGATGGATTTAAAACAATAATATGCCTTTGTGACTCTTATGACCAGGAGAACCCTTAGCAAGTGTATAGTTAGTGAATAGCAATCCATTAGTATGTATAATGTTTTAATTAACACAGCATTTTATTATGAATTTCAGAAGCAATTATTTATTGTACTACTTCTCAATTTTATTAACATAATATTTGATTTGTAGTAAAATAATAGATAAAACAGTGTGCTGTTTATTTTGAGTAATGTATGCAGAATGTGCTGAGTAAATTGAATTGCGATTAGTATGTCCAAGAGCACATTGTACACTTAAACATGAAAGTCTGAAATGGAAAAAGTGTGCACTTGAGTCTAGAATGAAAATCACTTAAAATCAAAATGTAACCTCATTTTAACATTAACAGTAAAATAATGCTAAATTTCATTCTGACCATTGATTATAAGTTTGCTTCTCTGGAATTAGGAACATTCCATCTTACTAAAAGTGTCTTCCACGTTGGAAAAAATTTACAGAATTTGCAGTTTCATAAGTTCACATCAGAAGCAAATGAATGTTTTCTATGTTAAGAAAAATGTCAATTCCTCTTTTTCAGATCAATGTCATAAAAGCTATTAAATACTAATATACTTATATCAGCACAATTCACAATAGCAAAGCTATGGAATCAACCTAAGTGTTCATAAATGGATGATTGGATAAAGAAAATGTATGACATACACACACTGGAATAGTATTCAGCTATAAAGAAGAATGAAATCATGTCTTTTGTAAAAGCAACATGGATGGAAATGGAGACAATTATCTTAATTGAAACAACTCAGAAACAGAAAGTCGAACGTCACATGATCTCACTTATAAGTGGGAGCTAAATAATGTGTACACTTGGACTAGAATGTGGAATGATCAACATTGGCGAATCAGAAGGTGGGAGGGTGGGGGAAGGTAAGGGATGATAAGTGGTGTAATAGATGCAATGTACATTATTAGGGTGATGGTAATGGTTATGCTAAAAGCCCTGACTTCAGCACTACACAATATATCACTGTAACAAAACTGTAATTATATCCATTAAGTTTACACAAATAAGAAAAATACTTGATGTTTCATGTTATTTACTTGGGGGAAATATAGTCTATGATACGTAAATATTCTGAAAGTTTCCATTGATACCCCTTGAAATGTTCAATTCATTCAAAACAATGTAAGCTCAGGTAATTTAATTGGAAGATTGCCCTGTAGGCTACTGAAAGTCCTCCTCTTAAGGGAAGTAGCTATAAGATATGCTTGATACATTTTTAAATATTTAAAATACATTAATTTCACTAATTCTTAGTTTCAGGCAAAATTTGCATTATAATCTTAATAATTAATGTCAATGTCCCATGTACCATATGGTATATTACTATAAACCTAAGGAGATTACTGAATGTAATTATCAATATTTATATAGTGGCATTTTGACAAAAGCTCAGAGAGTTGTAAAGTGGCTATCATGTTTAAAGATAAATAACATAACATAGATTTGACGCATATTATGATAAGACTTATTATTGTTTTTATAAGCCTATACTGTTTCCTTAGATACAGCATGAAGCTCGCAATTACCTCTTTAGCTATAATATGCTAAAGGATAACTATAATACTTCTGACAAAGTAAAACTTTTTATGAATAAACTCTCATATAAGTACAATTTTTTTTTTTTTAGATCGAGTCTTGGGTTTTTTTTTTTTAGATTGACTCTGTCGTGTCACCCAGACTAAAGTGCAGTGACGTGATTTCAGCTCACCGCAACCTCAGCCTCCCGGATTCAAGCCATTCTCCTTCATCAGCCTCCCAGGTAGCTGGGACTACAGACGTATGCCACTACGCCTGGCTAATATTTGTGTATTTTTAGCAGAGTTGGGGTTTCACGATGCTGGTCAGGCTGCTCTCCCTAATAATGCTTCGTGTTGTGGCACTAAATATTGATAATAAATCTTCATGTTCACAGGAGTTCTTATTAAAGCAAACTAAAGGAAAGAAAAAGAAATAAAATAATTTTAGCTTAATTATATCTTATGACAATTATGCAATTTCATTTTTATTTATGTTACTATAAGGCCACCCATTTATTTATTCAAATCAATGCTTGAATATTAGCGTACAATTTGTAGTCTCTTACGTCAACTGAGACCTATTGTGTCTTTAAAAGAGTGAACATTTGACAGAAGTTCTTTGAATGGCGGTCCTTTCTTTCCCTCCTCTCCCACAGCTCAAATCTCTGGGTAGAGTTGAAACGTCCTCCACTCTAGCTTCATCATTTAATTCTACGTTTGTCATGATTAAGTCACTTCACTTTTCCAGTCTTAACTTTCCTCATTGAAAATGCAGGGGAGACAGAGAAAAGTGCTTGACCTCTCCCTAGCAAAGACATGAAAACGAAAAAAAAAAAATAGGATGTGGTGAGAAATAATGAAAATGCATCTACAAAGAATATCTTATGCTTTTCAAAATAATGATCATAGCATATATCAGGTTATTTTAATTAATTCTTCCATTCGAGAGGCATGTATAAAATAGCAAACAAAGGTAAAGAAACATTTTGGTCTAAAAACCAATTGCTGAGAATTTTTATGTTGAACTTTTTCATTCCCATTTTGCAGGTGCAGGTTCAGAATAAGATGAATACATTTGCAGCAATTAAAGGCTTTGTTGAATAACTGAATCAGCCAACTCTTCACAAACCATCTTCTACCTATGCCTGCCAGAAATTTTCTCACTGCTTTAGAGGCTAACGACTAATATACAGCAGTCATGTGTTGCACCACAAAGCCCTATAAACAGATTCAATGTGATTGTTCTTTAATGAAAAAGAAATATGGTCTTTATATGCTGCTTTCATTCTCTTGGGGTAAAAAGATTTGTTCTCAATTTAAAACCAAATGCTATCATCAATATCCCTTGGAAATTCCACTTAATTAAAATGCTCTAGTCATAAAACCTGCCAAATAAAAACTTGGTTAAGTTTTCCAATTAACAGCATTTAATTAGAATTCTATAATATGGAGGGGATCTGCTTGTGTAACTTATCCTCATCAAAGAGGCTGTAGTTTGGTCAAAATAAAGAGAACACTTAAAACACAATGGATATCAGTAGGGTAAAATGTTCTTCTTCCAAACTAATTCCTCATCTGGTTGACATGACAAGAGAGAAAATCTCACACTCATTTAATCTGTATGTCCTGGATGCATTCTCATGGCTCCAGCCTGCTGCAGTCAAATGCCTGCATGGCTGCAGCCACACGGTTATGGCTCAGAACACAGGGCAGCTTGGTTTCTGCATCCTTTTCAAACCCATTACTAGCTCATTCCTGTGGCACCTACCTGAAAAAGGAAAAGTTAAAAGAAATCAAAAATAAAATATTTTCCATGTAAGTCACATAGTGTATGAATTGTACTTCCTTCAGTTCAAAGAGGCAAAAAAAGACTCTATGAGCAATTAAATAACAAAGTAACAGCACACTGTCTCGTGTTTAAAAAGACATAAAAAGCTTATGCTATTTGGAAAATTATATGATCAAGGTCTGTCATTGCTCTTCTCTTGAATGTCAGGGTAATCATTTTCATGTACGCTGGCAATTCTGATGCCGGAACATTGTCCCCAGGTGAAAGCACACTGCTTTCTGTGCAAATAACACCTGTGAGAAAACATGGAAATGGAATGGCCAAGACATTTCACATTTTTAACCATAAACTAGAATTTATATATTTGCAAACTTTTTATGTTCATAAAAATCTTGATTTTTCTTTAGAGTGAGAGCACTGCTATTTCTTGTTCAAACGAAAGATAATGGGAAGAATAGGATTATATAATGTAGATGTGAAGGCTTCAAGGTTGTGTTTGATCTCACCATGGACAATCAGGTTAATTGGGAATTTGACAGGAAAAGGAAGCAACCTCACGTCTGGACCTAGGTCAAAGGGAGGACAAGTACAAACTCCTACAGCATAAAAGGTTCACTCCTGTGACTTAATACAAGTTGCTACTTTGACTTTTGAAAATGACAACCATTCTTAGCTCACTGGTCATCCAATAACAAGCCAGGGTCCCTTGGCTGTAGTCACTTTACCCCAATTTAGATCCTTAAAGTTGGTGCTAACTTCTGTCATCCCTACTGCCCCAATGCAGGATAGTTTTGATCCACTATCTTGACTTAACTTAAATATTTACCTATTTGCCTACTTTTAATTTCCTTATATTATTTCTTCAATTGAATTCAATATATTTTAGATTTTTCTATTAAAGTAATACTAATTGCTATATTATAAAATCAGAGCAGAAGTTTATGCATTACTCCAGTCCAACTGGTGACCGTTATAAGTTGGCTTTTTTGGAAGCAGAAACTGAGCTCCAGTGTGATGTGGGAGATATTTATTGCGGATCAACGACTACCAGTGCCAGAGAGAAGATGGTAAACCAGATTGCTCAGAGACAAAAGGCAAAGCACAATGCGAGTTCAACAAGCCTTGGGGCCAGCTGGAGCATAGCCAGCCAGACAGAGTTGTCCTGTGCAGGCTTGAAATGGCCAAGCCTTTATAACCTGGCTTGATTATTTATTGGATGTGGGCTACACCAGGAGAGGCAGCTCCCTGCTGCTGAGGCACAATCCTGAATGAGGTATTAGCTGGATATTGTCTGCTGACAGTATCCTCTTTTCTGATGGAACAGGAACTAATATATTTGACCGATCAATGGTAGAATGGCATGTAACTGCGCTGTTTTTATTTGCTCTAGCCATTGGGGTTAATATTTAGCAGGGTCCACAGCAGTGCACTGTCACCCTCCAGGATCCACCATTTCTCTACAGGGAGCAGATGGTCAATTAAACAGAAATATATTGGGGTCCTGAATCATTTAAGTCAGGTCAGTAGAGTTATTTTTCTGTAAAGATAAATAAAAGAGTACATATTTTAGGTTCTGGGAACCATATATGGTCTCCGTTATATATTCTTTGTTTGTTGGTTTTTACAGTTCTTTAAAAGTGTAAACATCATTCTTCGCTTATCAGCCACACAATGACAGACCACAGACTCATGGCCATAGTTAGTTTTCCCAGGATTTAGATCCTGAAAGTCAGCGCTGACTTCGGCATCCCTGTGTCCACAATGCAGTATTATTTTATTTGCTCTCTTGGCTGAGAGTGGAGGGGAGTTTCTCAGACTTCTGCTTGGATCATCCTCAATAAAAGCCATTTGTTATCTGGCTCCCACATGCTTCCATTCTAACTGGGGCCATGATTAAGCTTGGGGTCTTCAGATGGCAATGTTGACATGGGCCCCAGATCCAGCACGCCTCACAATACTTGTTATCAGTTTTTTTTCCAGTATTAGGGGTTGAATTTTGGTCCTCCACGAAATTAATCTGTCAAAGTCCTAACCCCAGCACCGTAGATTTTGACCTTATTTAGAAACAGGGTCATTGCCGATGTAAAAAGTTTAGGTGAGTTCATACTGGCGTAGGGTGGACTGTTAAGCCAATATGACTGTGTATTTATAAAAAGTGGAAACTTGGACACAGTTACACACACCAAGATAACACAATGCGAAGATGAAGGCAGAGATGAGGGTGATGCTTCTGTTATACAAACCAAGGAGTACTAAAGATTGCAATGGCCACCGTAAGCAGAAAAGGGCCCTACCACGGATTCTCCTTTGCCGTCCTCAAGAGGAACTGACCCAGACACCTTGATTTCGGGACTTCTGGCCACCAGAACTGTGAGACAATACATTTCTGTGGCTTATTTTTTTTTCTCACCCATGGATTGGGGTGACTTACATTTCTGTGGTTTAAATCCTCTAGTTTGTGGTTCTTTGTTACAGCAAACCTTTGCAAATTAACATGCTGAGTACACATTCACCCAAGGAAATGGCTATGACCCCTAGGCAAGGCCTGGGGACTCCTCACCAAGCACACTGACTGTGAGGTGTGGCTCCTTCCCTCTGGGAACATGGCCTCCCCTGCGGTCAGTGGGTTCCAGGTCAGAAAACTGACTCAGATCCAGAAATCAAGCAAAGGGTGTTAACACTTTTGGGTGACTGCCTTCAGAATTTTGATCATATCTCCTTGATTTCTCCTGACTGTACGAGATCAGCGGCCCCCCGCTGGCTGGCTTTCTACCCATGCTGTTTTCAGGGTTGCTGTACTCTATTATCTCCACAACTTTCAGTGGATCAGATTTTTTGGCTACTGCCCTCCCAACCCATTATGGTCATTGTGACATTCTAATCACCTGGCCTCTATTGTTTTAGCGTCCCCTTGTTCCCACTACTATCAGTTTGCCTAATTCTGTAAAGACATTTCTTACCATCTGCCTTGGTGTGAAGAAGAGAGCCACAACCAAACATTCAGAGATGCTGGTGCTCTTGCCAGCAGTTCATTCCATGTAATATAGTTATCCTGCAGGCTTTCTGGTGGATCATAACCATCTGCAGCTCTTCCGTATTCACACAGTGTCCGCCCCAGCATTTTAGCTTTTCCATCCCTTCTTCCAATATCTGGTAGGCAATTCTGATGCTTCAACTTTACTTAGTGTCACAGATGCAAGGTACAAAGAGGAGTGGAACTTCATCAGAACTGAAAAGAGGATAATTAATTAAGTCTACACATATGACTGTATGCTGTCATTCCCAATCTTCATGCACAAAATTTTGCATGCATCGTGTCTATCTCCTTCCCATTGCCCAGACATGATGAAATTTAAGGTTTCATCCCTGGAGAAATTAAACTCTCTTCTGCAAAAGCAATAATCCACAGTCTGAAATTTGGTTATTTCTCAGAATATTTGCATTTATCTTGCTTCCAATAATTCTAGAACAAATTTGACAACAGACACGCCTTATAAACGTACCCAGATGTCCTACTCTCTTTTTCTCACCTTAATATTAGAAATATAAAACAAACTATGGGTAAACAAATATATGAGGAAGTTTTCAACTTGGAAGTACACACGGAGATACTTTAGCTAGATGAAGAAAAACTAAAATGTAACAGAGCATTCTCATCACGTTTCATGTAATCTGGAATATTGAGAGCATTTTGAACACTTCTAGAAATTTAAAAATATGCAATTACACAGAATAAAGTCTAATAATATTTTAACCTTAACTCTAAAGTCCCTTAACTCTAAATTCTTTAAAAATGTTGTGAGAAAATATTTTTAATTTAAAATTTTATACCTCACCAGATGATCAATGAAATTAATATCCACTAAAGGATTTTCCAGACATGGAAGAACTCAGAAAATTTCTCCCCTTGCAAGCTTTTCCCAGGAAATTACGTGATATTTGTTCCAGATAAAGAGCAAATTAAACCAAAAAATATTAAATCACATGTATCAATTAGGTCACTTTTAACTCTAAATTACTCTAAACCAAATACAAACTAGCATATGCAGTTCATTATAATCACCAATGTCATCAAAATGGCATGGAAATTTTTCATGCATTTGTGTAGTTTTGTTTTTGTTTTTCGAGATGGACTTTTGTTCTGTTGTCCAGGCTGGAGTACAGAGGCATGATCTTGACTCCCCGCAACCTCCACCTCCCAAGTTCAAGTGACTCTCCTGCCTCAGCCTCCCAAGTAGCTGGCATTACAGGTGTCTGCCACCATGCCTGGCTAATTTTTGTATTTTTAGTAGAGATGGGGTTTCACTATGTTGGTCAGGCTGGTCTCAAACTCCTGACCTCAAATGATATGCCGGCCTCGGCCTCCCAAAGTGCTGAGATTATAGATGTGAGCCAGTGTGCCCGGCCTATTTGTACAGTGTTGGTGTTTAGGGGAAATTTGGTCTGAATTTGAAGCAATTCCATCTACAATTGATTCTTTCCATCTTTTGGCTCACTCTCTTCTCTTTCACTTCTTGATTCGATTCTGTCTCTTTTAATCTTTCGACTACAAGTGAACGCAACAGACACAACACAACATCTTCTTAGCCCCGTGTTCATGAAAGGCAAGAGCTTCTTTCCCAAATCAAAACAGTAGTCTAAAGTCTGACTTTTTATTTTCCTGTCCAAACCTAGTAACTTAGACAAAAAAAAAGAAGGTGAATTAGCTAGAATAAATAATTTTAACTATCCAGATTCCTCTTCTTGTTAGGAGGTTTGGCACAGTTCCATAGAAATTACATTATGTTAAAGTGAGATAAAAGAGTTTGTTGGGGAAAAAAAAAAAAAAACCAGCATGGATAGAGCTAGGGAGGAGAAAGAAGCTGGGAGAACAGCTAATGCCAAATGTGCAGTACACACAAGAAACAGGGAAGACAGGGTCCTTTTAAAAAACAAACAGGTGAATGAAAAGCTCAGGGCGTACAGCCCAGAGGACAGGTCGATCAGTCCAGAGCTGGGAAATAAAACATTCAGGAGAGAGATTATCAAAAGTAAAAGGTGTCCTTTAGAACACCTGCTACATCAAGCTACTTAAAAAACAATTTTATGAAAAGAGAATATTACAATGAGAAACACAATGTCAGTGTATTAGTCTGTTCTCATGCTGATAATAAAGGCATAGCCGAGACTGGGTAATTTATAAAGGAAAGAGGTTTAATGGAGTTATAGCTCCACATGGCTGGGGAGGTCTTACAATCATGGCAGAAGGCGAAGGGGAAGAAAGACATGTCTTATATGGCAGCAGTCAAGATAATGTGTGCAGGGGAACTCCCCTTTATAAAATCATCAGATCTCATGAGACTTACTATCACCAGAACAGCTGGGGAAAGTCCCTCTGCCGTGATTCAATTACCTCCCACCAGGTGCCAACCAGGACCTGTTGGAATTATGGGAGCTACAATTCGAGATGAGATTTGGGTGGGGACACAGCCAAACCATACCAGTTAGAAACTCTAGTGAAAAGCAAAACTTTTAAGTGAAAGAAATGTAATCATGAGGTAGTATTTGACTTTTCAGTGAACACTATTTACACGATCATATTGTTTTAAATACTAAATATTCATTGCTTGTTTAACTGAATATACTCTCTATCTCACTGAAGGATGAAGCAGGGGAGGCAGTGTGTGGTGAGCAGTAGCTAAATTCTTGTCCTTCATAACAAGAAGCAAATAGGTAGTGTCAAAACTTGAGAAATCAATATACAGTAATCTGTTTAACTTTAAAGGTATGTAACTACCAAAAGAAAACCTAAAGGATGACAAATTCATTGACTCAAAGGGAAAGAAACATAGGGAAAAAGTAGACGGGGATATTTTAAAAGTCTTTCGAGATTAATTTATTCTTTTTTTTATTTTATTTTTGAGACATGATCTTGTTCTGTCCACTAGACTACAGTGTAGTGATATGGTCATGGTTCACTGTGGTCTTGACCTCCTGGGCTCAGGTGATCCTCCCACCTCAGTCTCCCAAGTAGTTGGGAATACAGTCACATGCCATAACACCAGGCTTTTTTTTTTTTTTTTTTTTTTTTGTGGAGACTGAGGTTTCACCATGTTCTCCAGGCTTGTCTTGAACTCCTGGGCTCAAGTGATCCTCCTGCCTGGGCCTCCCATAGTCCTGTGTTTCTCCTGAACACCCGTATGTGAAGGCCTCAGCCTGTTTGAGTCCTGACTGGTGGGTTCCACCTCCTTCACCTCCTTCTCCTCCACCTACTGTGCTTCTTCAGACACCTGGTCCCTCTTCCAGCAAGTCTTTGCAACATGCAACCTTCAGCAGTGACTGTATTTATAACAATATTTTTACCATTGAAAATTCTTGAAATGGATGTTTTTTAAAAAGGGAAGGGGATAAGGCTGATGTGACCTCTGGTATTACTAGCTGCAATGAATGTATCTGATGTTTTATTTCTCTAATGCATAACTCACTTTTTTATGGGTTTCATGGGTTAGTTCCTTAAGGCACCTGTGAGTCTGAAGTGTTTTTTTCATTACCAAAGGTTCTATTAATTGAATATTTGAAGAGATAAATATCACTTCTGAGTCTTGTATTTTATCATAATCTCAGTACTCTTCATTCATTTAACCATTAATTCATGCGTGCATCAATACAGTCATTTATTTATTTAATTAAACAAGTGATAAGATTGTGGAAAGGCAACGTGATCTAATATTTAAATATATTAATTCTACAGCAAGATCACTTTTGTTTGAATCTGCTTCTTGGTATATCAGTCAAACCTCACTGTGCCCAAGTGTTTTCATCTGGAAAATTTGAATAAAATACACATGCCTCACAGGGTTATCACTTTTATATGTTAAGATACGTGAGTTGCTTAGAAGAGTTCATGGTTTCTAATAATTACTAAATGATTTTAATACAAACAAATAAATATATGTTATTCAAAAGAAAGGTACTGTTTTCATAAATGCTGTATGTAGTTATTCCTGTATCATTTAAAAGCACAGGAAATAAAAGAAAAATAGAAAAGTGTGACTGCACAAACTGAAAAGCCTCTGTGCAACAAAGGAAACAATCGACAGAGTGGAAAGGCAACCTGTGGATTGGGAGAAAATATTTGCAAACCAAAAATATCTGATAAGGGGCTAATATCTAAAATATATAATTTAGATATTAAATTTGTACAATGCAACAGCAGAAAAAACCTACAAATAACCCAATTAAAAATGGACAGCATGGGAAACACTTGCCCCCATGATTCAATTACCTCCCACAGGGTCCCTCCCACAATAAGCGGGAGTTCAAGATGAAAAGAAAACCATAACATTATTGTTGGAACACAGTTGAAATAGTATAAGATTCACATAATAACAGTTATGAAAGAGAAAGTAAAATCTCTTTCTAGTTTCTGTTTAAGATCAAGGCAGACTTTTCCTAGAAAAATTACAATCATGTCCAGAGCAAACATTGGCAGCAGTTAAAGCATTATCATCATCAATTTTAATATTGTTTGTGCTGAAATTCTAAGCAAAGAAATAAATACCTTAAAAAAATTGGGGTTGAATTAGCACCTACAAAGTGAGCAATTAATGACTACAGAGTAACTATCAATGCCTATTTCCACCTCTCTTTAGATATTGATACGGTTTGGGTGTGTCACCACCCATATCTCATCTTGAACTCCCACTTATTGTGGGAGGGACCCTGTGGGAGGTAATTGAATCATGGGGGCAGGTCTTTCCCATGCTGTTCTCATGATAGTGAGTAAGTCTCACGAGATCTGATGGTTTTATAAGGGGGAGTTTCCCTGTACAATCTCTCTTCTCTTTGCCTGCTGCCATCCATGTAAGACATGACTTGCTCCTCCTTGCCTTCCATTATGATTGTGAGACTTCCCCAGCCATGTGGAACTGTAAGTCCATTAAATCTGTTTCTTTTGTAAAGTGCCCAGTCTTGGGTATGTCTTTATCAGCAGCGTGAAAACAGAGTAATATAGATATACAACATCCACTCATACCTTTCATCCTATACATAGATTAAAATACATGTTTACAATAAATGCACTCATCCCACACAAAATACCCATGTTTTCACCCTTTTACTGCTCCAGTTTCAAGTTCGAGATCTCATGGCTGTGTATAGTTTGCTCCATCAAATTCCAAATTATTGGTTATACTTTGCTTTCCGTAAGGGAAACAAGACAAATTATCCATTCTCAACACACCCAGGATG